CAAAATGTCTGGAGTAGCATTGAGGTTTAGGCTCATAAAGTGGCCAATACAAAAGCCTTTTTATGGTTTGAAAAACATACAAATTCAACAGAAAAAAACAGGTCCACGCCTTAGTAATGGGGCGTCAGTGAGGTCTTTGTTGGCCTGCCAAACCCAATACTGGCCCATGCCTCTGAAAGGGGAGCCGTTAGGGTTTTTGTTTGCCTGGCTGACCAGGTGAGATGTTTTGGTCTCCTGCATGGCAATGAGGATTGAGATGATATAGGAAGGAATCAACTCTATCTCTGCATTGTAGGTTTTTGAGAGCTGAAACCTGAGACCACCCCCTCTGTTTAAGTTTGGTTTTTCTCTCCTAACATAAATAGCTTCTTTCACACTCTTCTTTGTCCAAAATGTAAACATTCTGGTTTTCAAAGACAACCCTCGCAGTGACAAAAATTCAACTTAAAAATTTGTCTACTTAAATAATTTAAAACAGAGATTGGTTTACTGTTGCATCTTTTTTTTTCAAAATTCATTGTATCAACGTATTTATATGAGACTCTGATCGTGCGTGAAAGATTCTGGTCAGCAAAGCAACGTGTTTTTGGAGTGGGGGGTTGGCAAAGAAAAAAAGTGACACGGAAGGGTTGTATATCCATGTGCACAGATGGAGCTATAGCTATGCAGGGGGGTGGAAAAGATTTGAGGGCCTGCACTCTGGAAGTAGCCCCCCATGTAAAATTTCTGCACTGGTTGCTCGAGCCAGAGCTTTGTGATGTTCTTCAAACATCTGTTAAGATTGTTAATTTCAGTGAATTCCAGCAAAGCAGACCTCTTGCCACACTGTCATGAAATGGGATCAGACCATAAGGCACTTCTCTTTCATACAGAGGTCAGGTTGCTACCTCATGGTAAGCCTTTAACAAGGCTCTTTGAACTGTGTGAGGATTTCTGCATGTTAGTATTTCCCTTGCTGACTGTCTGACAGACCCAATGTTGGTTGCGAGCCTTGTGTATTTAGCCAACATCTTTTACAAACTAAACAGCTTAAACTTGTCCCTACAATGTTCAAACAAAACTGTGCTTATGCTTTCTGAAAAGGTCACAGCATCTAAGAGAAAGCTGTAGTGGTGGGCTGAGGCTATTTGCTTCTCACCTCATGAGCATCCTTGAAAGTTTCAGTAAGTATTTCCTGAAATATGACACAGCGGAAAATTACGATTGGATACACCAGCCTTTCACCTCCTTCACTGCGCATCTCCTGTCATTAGAGCTGCAGGATGGCCTGCTCGATCGCTCCTCTGATCCACCATTACAAGTTGCTTTCTCCACATCAACCCTCTAAGGTTCTGGTTGTCAGTAGCAACAGAGTACACAGCCCAGTCAAAAGCTGCAACTAATCTACTTTTTCCATTTGAGTCCACATATTTGTGCCAATAGACCTTTTCTTTTTGACATAATGTGAAAAACAAAAACAGATCATGACTCCTCAGAGTTGAGAGGGATCTCCATGTGGCCGTTTCTAACATAAAGCCAAGACTACAGCTGCTCTGTTCAAACAAGCAGGCCCAGCCGTCACAGTAAATAGCTTCAGAAAACATCTATGCATCTGCTTTTGACCAGGAATGATTTTTTTTCATATTTAATTCTTTATTTATTTTATTCACTCTATGTATTATTTAATAATACATAGTAATATTACTTTACTTAATAATAATTTAAATAGGCATAGTCAATGCAGTGCCAGTTCATAATTAAAAAGAACAAGCTCATAGTTCAGTTCAGACAGATGAAAAAGAAATAGCTTACGTTCCTAGCTCAGTTTTTCAGAAAATGATCGAAGGTTACAAACCTATAAATAAACTAGTTCAAGTTCATTAGGTAAATTAAGCCACAATCCTACACAATAGAACATCAAATTTCATCCTTTAAATGTGTGTTCATAATATATAGAAAGAAACAGAAAATACTCGATGCAATCAAGGTAAACTGTAAGTGCTGTAAAGCCCTTACACATTAATTCTAGCAGTAGACATACTGATCTGTAATGCTGTTTGCCATAATAAGTGCCACTAAAGCTGACGTTATCCAGCTAACGTCAGCTGTGTGTGTCGCTCATTCTTCTCAGAGCGATCGTCGTTCACCTTCATTACTTCAAAACTGGCCCGTTCAGTTCACCGTTCACTCAAAATATTAATATATTCAGTGAAAGCAATTCATTGAATATGTTCATACACAACAATGGGTATAGCAAAAAATGCAAAAATCCTAAGATTTTATTAGAGTGCTCATAAAGTATAATTTAATTTTACCATTGTGATAATGTAAACCATATAGTTTAGATAGAAATTTCTAATACTTGAGAAATGGTACTGCATATCAGATAAACCAACTTGCCAAAATGTATACAAAGCCAAGCTCCTCTAGGCCATTCTGGACTCTTGCCTTGGGTTAAAAGTTGAATGTTTTGTTAGTGTGAGTCCATTTTCCTCATTTTGGCATTACACATATCACAATCTTTGGTTTTGGTTATGTTACAAGACATGCCAGACTATGATTCCGAAGGCAAAAATGTGAGCTTCACAATCAAGAGGACTTCACAGGTGCAGACTCTTTATCTGATGAGGATGTGGCCTCTCCTGCAACAGCTAAGGCTCCCTTTTAAAAAATACAGCAGGACAGAAGCAGTGCTTTGATTGAGGAAGAGCATGATCAGGCTACATCAGATGAGGACAGAAAATCTCCTTGTAGCAAGAAACGCAAGGCTGCTGATATGGACACCAGAACACACAGACGGCAAGAGATGGCAATGTATGGATCCGTCGAAAAGTTGAGGATTTCATCTCTCTTCAAACCTCACAGATGCCATTAAACTGGAGTTGAGTCCCAACTAAGTTTCCAAAACGCAAAATCACAAATCCCTTCAAAGCTGCCTCTGTTTGGTGGATATCAGTATGCTGTTCACCATGAGAGACCTCAAAGTCCAGCAGAAATGCAGAACAGAACCAGGCTGGATAATTAATGTGTATGCTAATGGCCTTCGTTGCAGTTCTTTTTATAAAGGCAGCAAAGGGAAGTGTTTGCACAATGTGTGACTTTTTGTCCATAGACTTTGGTAATTCACATGTCAAAGCCACAATGGCTGAAGATGTAATGAAATATCTGTGCTACGACAACAAAGACACTCATGTGGAAAATGTAAAATAAAACAGACAATTTAGCTGCAATTTCAATCATCGAGCAACAGTTTGTATAGAACTGTGTGCTTTGTTGTCATTTCCTGCAATAGAAGCCTGATAAATTTGAAATTAAATTTTTGATTGCACCAGAATTGGATACAAAATAAATGTGCAAAGCAATCCCTTACTTGGGAAAAGATTCCTCCAGCACCACAAGAGAAAGGCTGTCTGAGAATAATGTTTTGAAATTGATGGAGCAATTTAAGGACCAGAAAAGATTGTAATTTTAGACAGTGTCTTCACATCTCTCTCTCTCAGACTATATAGAATATGTTATGTTGTCTGGCTTATTTTTTTTCCTTGATGCAACACAACTCTGCTTAACACCCTAAGCAAAGATCATCAGCAGCTACCAGCAAAACAAACTTCAGGATGCCGGCTGTACTCTACACAATTGTTCATAGGTGGATTGCGGACAGTTTATACAACAAAAAAGAAGAAATATGTTTGTCTGCATAGCACTATGCACCAGAGAGTGGAGATTGGAGACACTGAAAAACAAAAACCACTGTTATTGACTATAACCACTTGAAATGCGGTGTGGACATTATGGAAATTACAGACCTAATCAGTGTGCTGAAACATGGAGATGAGCCATGACTGTCTTTTACAACCTGCTTCCTATACAAGGGATGCAAAGGGTCCAAAGAAAGTCAGGAAAAGTTCATACTGTGACTTGCAAATGAACCATAATGGGTTTATGGAGGAAAAGGCACAGCAAGAAAAAAACATGACTCAGCATCATGAGATCACAAGATTTCCTAAAGGAAAAACAACTTAAAACCAGATGCAAAAGCTGGGCAACAACAAACCATAGCACCAAGTGCATTTAGCAAAGAATACTGGACCTGTCAAAAATGAAGGAAGGGTTCACCTTTGGTTTTGCGGTAATTGTTAAATAGGACAAATGTCAAAAATGACAAACATAACTTAGACAAAGTCAATTTATGTGACATCTTTGGGTTTCATACATAGTACCTTTCATTGTGTGAAATAAATGTTATTCTTTTATTGAAATAATTCTATTTGTAGATCATTTTCTAATCTGAAATAGTGAACAATAAGATAAGGTACAATTTGTTTATTCATTAAGTTGTTGTTTCTTTAACAATATGAGCTTTGCAGTATAGTTTCTCATTGACAAATTGGTGAATTCCATATATAATATAAATACGCTCTGCCTTGTCTTGTTGGCAAAGCATGGCTATTACATTTATTTCAGCTGTTTGTTCAACAGGTTTGTCTGTATAAAATATTGAGATATAGCATCAATATATTTGTATCACTGCAAATGAGTATAACGTTGCAGGGGCAAGTAATGAAGTTGCTTGAAAGAACGTGTTCTTTCTGATGCTTGATTCAGCCATTCTCCAATCTCAGCATCAGAGGTTATTTGCATTACAATAGTGAGAGTTATCAAGGTGGATAAATGAAATTTTGCAGGAAAACCTGAAGCTCCTGGGACTTGCAGTGAGTTTGAAAGCTTAAAGAAATAAAACTGAACAGGTTTTTCATACTTCAATAAGCCCCCCTGCTATTTTTTACCCTATGACCATGTTTTTCTCACTTCCTTTGTAAATTAATGTTTAAGTGGATAAGTTTGTCATCCAAGCTTAGCTAAAACATTTATCTCTAAACCCATCATCAAATGTTCTTGTTTTAACATTGTTCAACATAATAGTTTCAAACTTAATTGCATCTGCACAAGTCAAATCTAAGGCACATTTTGAATAATTATAAATTAATTCCCAGCAATGTTTTTACTCTGCTCTCTCTCAGATGGTTACACCACTGATGATATTGAGTTTTACTGGCGAGGAGGACATAATGCTGTGACAGGGGTGGACAAGATTGAACTTCCCCAATTTTCCATTGTGGATCATAAGCTCATCTCCAAGAATGTTGTCTTCTCTACAGGTAATTTCATAAACATGATTCACGTTATTTAATTCTATATAACAAAAAAGTATATATATATTTGTTTTAAGTTGCAACTGTTGCCTTACTAAGACACTCAAATAAATTTCTTGAACTAAAAATCGTTATGCATATATTCTAAATGTAGCACCCTGCTGAAAGACAAAAAAGATGTATTCACCAGATGTAAAACAACCTAGAAAAAAAAAAACAAATTAGGAGAAATGTAAAAGTTTTCTTTATTTCCATATAAATAAAATGTCTGAGAAGTTTAGCTTTTTCTGAATCACAATAAACGTAGTGTTAGGTGCAGGTGTATAGCAAATTAGATTAATTGCATTTGCTATACAATCGCACTTTAACAAAACACACTTTTCAAATTTTGGTCACATTACGTTTTACAGGAGTAAGGCACATTTGTTTCACTACAGCCCTTTAGGTGGTGTCAATATGCTTTAAGTACTTTTCGAGGCAACACTGGACTGTGGACAAGCAAGCTTTCAAGGTAATGCAAATGATGAAACCCTGGAATGAAACATGTATATGCAAACAGTTAGTGAGGATAAAAATATCAATCACATTCAAGTCAGGGTCATGCCCTTTAAGCTTTCTTTTTAGTTTCACTGTGATTTTGTTATCTGTAGTGGTTTTCTGCCAGTGTTGTGTTTCTGTGTTACTCTCTGTTGCCCCCTTGAGCCAGTTTCCTTTCCCCTTGGGCTCCTTTCTCACTTCTTCTGTCCACACATGCTCCCAATTAACTGATTACTCCACTCTTGTTTCTGTCTCCCATATATTATCCTACTCTGCAGTTTATCAGTGCTGGTTTCTCTTCTTTGCTTTGCTCCCCATGTGTTGTTTTTCTCTGGCATCTTCTGTTTTTTTTGGTTTTCTGTATTTTGTTTTTGGACATTGCTTTTGTTGCCTTTGGATTTTGATTTTCTTCCATTACTTTTTTTGATATACCCTTATTTTGAAAAGTAGCAAGAAGAGCGAGGTTTTAAATCTAGAGCCTGATCCTGTCAATTATAACTAGAGAAAAAAAATGTAAAAATTCACTTTAAGTCTTAAAATATTAATTAGTGTGTTCAACATTTTCGCTGGAAATGTCTTAATTGTCTCTTCTAAGTTCTTGAGAGAGTATTGGCTAGTGTTAGTCTGTGGACAGAACGGATTGTTCTTATCTGGTCGTTGAGCTCTCCTGTGAATTATATATATATATATATATATATATATATATATATATATTATGGGTGGAACGGTTCACACGGTTCGGTTCGATTCACGGTTTCATGGTCACGGTTTTCGGTTCGGTTCGATTCGGTATATGTTGATTGTTACACCGAAATCCCATAAAAAATTATGAAATTAATTAAAAAATCCCCCAAAAAATAATGGATTGTAATTATTTTAAATGATCCGCGGAAACCCTGGATCATTTCCGTATGTTTTGCTGCTTTGAATTTAATCATCTCCCGCATGCTCTCTACGATCTCCAAGGGACTCAGAGGGGAGCGGACGGGAGCCACAGTGGAGGCTATAGGCTTTGCTTTGAGCAGCCGGTCTGGAGCGCAGCGGGGCGGAGCGGGGGTTGCTGACGGAGTATGAGGGATTTCGGGGTTAGCATGACATGTTGGTCATGTTGCTGTTAGCATAAACAAAACGTGTTGCACAATGCTTGCACACTGTTGCACTTTTATCCACAACTTTCTTTCCGCCGTCATCGTAGGTCACTCTAAGTGCAAAGTGGTCCCATACAGCAGAACTATAAAGTGCTGCTGGCGCGTCTTCCAACTCCTGTTCTTTCCCACTCGCCATTCCGACACAATTCTCCACAACAACTGATTTTTTTCCCTGCTACACCCGGCTAAGCTGCTTCGCTTCTTCTTCTTCTTGTTTACTACTGGTGGTTGGCTTTGGTCGCATTACCGCCACCTTCTGCTCTGGAGTGTAAACGCTTCGCCTATGAGAGAAAGGAGCAGCGCATGAACCGAATGAAACACACGCAAATCGAACCAAGACAGTCGAACCGAACGGTTCGGACGGTTTTCATAAATCGTCCCATCCCTAATATATATATATATTTAAACCAAAATAAGGATGGAGTTTTTAGCCGCAATTGTGTGGTAAATTAATTGAAACATTTTATTTTTCATAATTTTCAGTGAATATATTGACCTCAGACTAATAGCAGACTAGGAAAAAGTTGTGTTGTCCAATCCATTCCACTCTTTTTGATGGGTCACGTTGACAGTTTAAGTAATTTGGTGATGATTCTAATTGTGCTCTTAAATGCAATAATGTTGTTTGATTTTATTATTTGATACTTTTTATTTTTCACTTTTTATCAGATGGTTGGGAAAGACAACAGAGTAAAATAATCATGTGTATCATTTTAAACACAAGCAAGATGTTTGTTTATTGAATTTTGCCCCCTTTAATAGCTGTCATCCTGACTTATTAGATTCTGTTAAGAACTATTACATGTTTTTTTAAGGTAATGGTAATCTGCTTGCACCTGAAGAATTAGAAAGTAGTTACAAGGTATAATATGTTTGTCGCTAGCAAGGGCGTAGGAATATGTTTACTATTGGGGGGGACACATGTCGGAAATCTGAGATTCGTATTCAACAGAAACATATCTTAAGTATGCTAATTAAAAAAAAGGCTATTTAATCTTGTACTTTATTCCTTTATAAATGTGTCTTGCAAAAATAATGCATTTAAAATTTACATAATGCATTTGTTCATAAGATGTGAGCATATCACCAAACAAAATGACTGGAGTCTTGGAGCCCTTGGCATAATTAGTGTCCGCATACGCAGTAGAAAATCAAATATTTCAGTTGGATTAAAAACAATTCAGTAGGCCACAGAAGTGCAAAGTTTGATATGTTTTATTTTGTCAAACTTGAAATAATGTTCAAAAATGAATTTATATAGGTTGACTGACAGAGGGAGCTGACGGTGTGTTGAAGAATTATGGACAGGGCGCTTTGAAGCATCTGGTTGAAAAACGCATTCTAAACCTTTGGTAGAAATCCATCCATCCTTCCATTTTCTGTACACCCTGTCCCTTAGTGGGGTCGGGAGGTGCTGGTGTGGGCTACACCCTAGACAGGTGGCCAGTCTGTCCAGACCTTTGGTAGAAATTGCGCCTTTAATTCCAGTTTGCAGTACAGAACAGAGAAAACTACAGAGTTTTCAATGTTGTGTTAATCTGTTTATAGCCTAAAAAGAGGAGCCAGCAGTTTATTTGAGGAAATAAAGGTGCAGAAGTTAATTAGTTGGTTAATTAGTGGTTGTGCAGCACTCCGCTGCACAACCAATGCGGCCGCTGCTGCTAAGAATTAAAATTATTTCTCCCTGTGGTTTTAACTAACGATCAGGAGCGCGGCAGGTATAACATCTGTCCATTTCGGCGAATCAAAACCACGCAAAAAATAAAAAATCCTCGTTAAACGCACGCCCAGACCGGGCTAATTTCAACACAAGTTGTGTTAGGTGACTGTTACTCACACTGACGTTTCTCTTTTTTAAAAAATCTGAGTAAGTCCTACTGCTGTTTCAGCCTTTTAGTTGGTGGTGGCATTGTACTGAAATGAGATCTATAAAAAAAAAAAAAATTTTTGGCTAGCGTGGCAAACGTCTAGAGAAAGTTGGCAGTTAAATATTGGATGAGTGATCATCCCAAGACTACGGAAGAAGACAGGTCCATTGAAAAAAAAAAAATGTTAAGTGATTTTTAAATTTTATTTCAGTTTAATACGGGAAAAAGGTCAGAATTCTGACTTTTTTTTTTTCTCAGAATTAAGACTATTTTTCTCAGAATTCTGACTTTAATCTCAGAATTTTGGATCTTAATGTACTGTAGATGGTCACCATGAAGGCAGAGATGTGGAGCACTCGGCTTCACTGACAAAGATGTGAGTTGTTTGAGGTGGCCAGTGACACATTGGTGGAAAATGACAGAATTAGGCAACTTTTTACGTGCCCGAGGGGTCCCCTCATTAATGGAGGAGCAGAAGGTCATTAAAACAAGAGAGATAGTCTCTAAAACAGACATGGCTATGGCTTGATGCTAACATGTTTGTTGTTAAACATACTTTTGTTATATTACATTTGTGTTGTGTTTTCCAAATAGTGTAGAAAATGAATGGTGGGTTCATAATGTTTACCTTTTATGAGCAGGACAGTAAGCAGAGAAGTGTAGCATTACCTCCAAGTAGTTAAACTCATAATTATGAAGTTATTCAACAAATTCCTCAAGTAAAAAAGTGCAACTTTTATTTTTTCTTTTTTTTTTTTTTTTTTTACCAGATTTGTTGATTAATTTCAAAATTATGTATTCCTTCCAAATTTCCAAATCTGAAGAATTTTTTAAACCAATATCTACATTATTTAACATTTAGTTTATGTTTTAGCTAGGGCTGCAACTAACGATTATTTTGAAAATCGATGAATCGGCCGATTATTTTTTCGATTAATCGATGAATCGGACACAAAATATTTTTTTTATATTAACCTCTTTATTCCAAAATAAACATTTTAGACAGAACAAACAAGCACACAAGTACAGGTTGCTCATTAACTGTACTGGTGCAATATGAAAAATAAATGTTTGTTTTAAAACTACGCAAACTTACATGAGAAATGTAGCTGTACATCCACAAAATATAGGGTACTTTGTTTCATAAAGCGCAAAAAAATACATTTTTGTTTTAAAAGCCCCTAAGGGGTTCAAACAATAGGCCCCCCCATTTCAACAAATGAGGTTTTTTTAGACTAGAAGAGTTCTGCCTTTTAAGACAGGAAAGTATAGCAGTTAAAGTTGCTACTAGAGAAAATACTGAACCATAGAGATAAAAATAGCCCTGTGATTCAAATTATAAATTGTATTTGGAATAAAAATGAGAGAACTAGGGGTGCTAAAAAACACATCCTCCAAAGACAGATATTTACATTTAATTAATTGACATATTACTGATCTTGCTGGATTTTATTCTGCTTTACTTCCATAAATTGCAGGATCTTCTTTACTTTATCTTTGCCAGAAGATTTAAACTTTAAAAGCCTTGCCCTCATAATTTGCAATTTAATTTATTTATAAAGAAAATATAAACGCTGCTTAAGCTAATTCAAATGAAATTAAAAGTAAAATAAGTAGCCAACCTTATCACTGTCTGTAACCTACTAACACGGTAAGGAAAGCATCAGATGAGCTACCTGAGAAACTAACGTAACGTTCCCCCACTTTAAAACCAAACAAACATGGTTACTCATCCTGCTGATCAGCTCTCTTCACTGCCATCGAAGGCTCCAACCTGTTTTCTTTTCAGGTGCTGCGTCATAACAGTGGTGCTTCCGTGCCATGTTCATTTGTTTTTACAAATGAGAGGGAGAAAGGCGTTGGGATGGGGGAGGCGCCCCACGGCAGCAGCTGCCGCTGGAGGACAAGAGTAGGAACGATACATGCTTTCACGTAAGAGTCTCCAAAAGCCGCCAGTGACACCGTAAAAAGTCGCCAGATTTGTCGCTAGTCGCTTTTTTTTTTAAATAGTCGCTGGAGGGGTCTGAAAAGTCGCTGAGTTGGCAACACTGCAACTGCGGCGCTGACTCGCTCCGCCATATTTCTTTTGCTTCCCCGGGATGACGGCGGCGGCGGATGACGCATTAATCGCGCGACACAACTAATCGATGATTAAATTCGTTGCCAACGCTTTTAAAAGTCGATTTTTATCGATTTTATCGATTCGTTGTTGCAGCCCTAGTTTTAGCAGTACTTCCTGTTATATTTCTTTATACGTATATTTTACATTTTCTTGCACAGCAAGCTCAGCAGATTTGAAATTGTGTGCTTGTGTAAACACAAGTAGTCAGTCTTTACTCTAAACATATATTCTGGTTATTTTTTAGTTAGACCTTCTTGTTTTTATATATCTGTATAGTACCCCCCCCCCCCCCCCCCCCCCCCCAAAAAAAAATTAAAACACTGTAAATTGATTAGAAATATTAATCATCTGTCAGATTTCTGAGAAAAAAGTCAGAATTCTGAGATTAAAGTCAGAATTTTGAGAAAAAAGTCAGAAGAAAAAAGTCAGAATTCTGAGATTAAAGTCAGAATTCTGAAAAAAGTCAGAATTCTGACTTTTCCCCCCATGTTAAACTAAAAAAAAAAATGTAAAAATCAGTTAACTTTTTTTTTTCCAGTGGCCCTAATCCTCTTCCGTACAAGACTAAGATGACTAAACCAAAAAGATTCAGTTTCTATATATGAAAGTGAACTGACAACAAGACGTTATAAATAGGCAATATTCATAGCAGCATCCCGACAGACCATTTTACCTCATTCACAAGTTTCTGACTTCTGTGTCGCCGTTTCCCTCCCTTCTGAGAGCTCACTCAGCAGTTCAGAGAGGGGAGGGGGAGTACAGTGACGTAACGCTATGCTGCGCCTTCAAAATAAAAGCACGCTAGTTAAAAAAATGTCAAAATCTAATATTTTGCGGTACAATTTTTGGAGGGGACATATCCACCTGGCTTTTATATTGGGGGGGACACTAACCCTGTCCCCCCCCGCTTCCTACGCCGCTGGTCGCTAGACATGTAAGTAAGAGAATGTTGTCATGCAAAGTGGGATTTTTTTTTCTTTTTCCCTTCCTCTCATTTTTTTCTGACCAGGTTCCTATCCACGTCTTTCCCTGAGTTTCAAGCTAAAGAGGAATATTGGATATTTTATCCTGCAGACATACATGCCTTCTATCCTCATCACCATCTTGTCTTGGGTCTCTTTCTGGATCAACTATGATGCCTCTGCTGCTAGAGTGGCCCTGGGTGAGCACATACAATGAATATTTTACCAACTGAATAATTTAAACCTTTTTCATTCAAAAATAAGTAATTCCAAATGAATTTTGAGGGGATTTAAATGTCTCAATTTCAGTTAATTCTGCAACTTAGATTTCGGTTAGTTATTTAGCAGTTTAACTATCCTTCTTTTGTAAAATAAGTGTATGGTTGTTGTCAGGTTTTGCAGCCTTTAGAAGCCTCTTATTTTAAGCCTCAATTTTACTGATTGACAGCTGAGCTGCATTCAGTGGAAAGGCATGGGCTGGAGGAAGAAAAAACAAAAACACAACAAGTAGTGTTTTGTAATGGATGGAGGTTAACAGTGTTGGGAAATATTTGATCATACTCCTTTCCCCACCAAATTTAGGCACCACTTTACTCTGGCCTAATTTAGGGGCATTAAAGTAGATGTGTGAAACCTGAATGGTTAATGTGTGTTTGTGTTGTTCAGCCTTTACAATAATCTTGGAGAACATAATTTCTAGTGTGACAGTTTATAATAGCAAAAAAGAAGTCACTTTTTTGTGGCAAGAATTACTTTTTTTTTCTATAAAGCAGTTGCCTGTTGGAGGATTTTCCGGTATTTTAGAGGCTCCTACCCAGATTTTCTGAAAACGTATTATACACTAAAACATTATGCTTTCCAAACTATTCCTAAAGGACACTTCAGATTTAGTAGCTACCCTAAAGAGGGTGAGAGAATAAATCTTAAATGGTTTCAGGTGTTATAGATTTTTGCTGTGACTTGTCATTCTGCTGATTGCATGTGTTTGCAATATTAATGTCTTAATGTCTCCTCCAGCCTTGTTTGCTTTTGTTACAGTTTTGCTAAACTTTATACTTACTGCTCTAATAATAGATACTTAACCTTTTCCCCCCCATGTAATTCAACCTTACTTCAACAGCAGTCTTCTGTATTTTAAATTTTTAGAGATGGATAAGAGCTGCTGCTCAACCTGGATATGTCTAGGTAAAGGAGTGGCAAAAAGAAATGGATTACTATAGACTGGAATATTTGTATTCAAAGGAAACAAAGTGATGAATTGATGAAAAGTTAATCGGAAAAATTCAATACTTATTTAGAATTTCTTTAGAACTGTTCATGTTGTCTATACAGTAAGTGAAATGTTTTCCATTGAAAAAAACACTAGTCAACATTAGACAAGAAAGAGCACATATGAGTGGTTATGGCTATTAACCACTTACATTTACTGTGTCGCATTAACTTGAGTCTCATAAAATAAAAAAATTAGAAATACAATTTTTTTGGGGGGGAAAAAATTATTTTGTTTTAGAAATATCCCAGTAAAGTAACTCTATCCTCACTTCAGTTGCATTTTTCTCTAACCACGAACAGTCAGCTATTCATCCCATCCATCCATCCATTTTCTTTACACGCTTGTCCCGAGTGGGGTCGTGAGGGGTGCTGGTGCCTATCTCCAGCAGTCAATGGGCAAGAGGCGGGGTACACCCTGGACAGGTCGCCAGTCCATCGCAGGGCCAGTCAGCTATTCAAAGATGAAAAATACATATATTGTCAGTGGATGTTGTTTGCGATTTCTAACATGTATACATTACCTAGGGTTAGTTCCATAATATGTATTATTTTGAATAGTTTCTTCTGCCTGAATTTATTGTTTTGTAGTATTAACTAGTTATTAATAATTTGTATCATACATTTTTTGTATCTTGCATTACCTTCTTTTTGGTCACACTAGTTCGAAAATTTTATTAGATGAGAGCATCCCATAGTTATTCAGTTCTTAAAGATATAGCGGATGATATTTTATTGCCGGGCGGATTAGTTATATTTTTCTGCGCACTTTCTGGCGTATGTGAAGTTATCTAAGGTTTCAGACAGTCATTGAAGCTCACCTTTCTGACTGTGGTTCTTTGAAAATGGGAGAGGGTCGTAAGAGGAAAAGAGTCTACGAATTGTATGACAAGAAAAGAAAGGCCTCAGAAGAGGCAGATATATCCAAGAATGCTTTGTGCTGAGAGCTCTCTTCGCGAAGCATTAAGTGACTAATAAAAAAGATGGCGCAGGCACCGCGCAGTGAAGGAGGAGTTACATGACCAAGAGCGCAAAAAGCAGTGATCATTTGTCCGAACGGTCAGTTAACTGAGTTCACTATAATCTCCACTGTATAGTCCCTGCTCTATATAGTAATTGAGGGATTTAGGGGTTAGAGCGGATGTTTGGGCACAGTAATTACACTGTCATCTGTGGCCAAAGTTTCACCTTAACCAGAGTTACCATTGGTGTCTGAGTTGAGCTGGATTCCAAGCACTTCTTAGTGTCCACACATTGCATCTTGAATATATTGCTTCAATTGTTTGCTAGGTTGGACGTATTTAACATGGACGCACTTAATGTCACATCTGCACAAAGGCGCGGTAACTTCTGATCAGAAGTGTATTTAGGCAAAATGGGCAACATGCTTATAGATGCATCGGCAATTAACAACTGAGGTGTCAGTCTGCCCATCAAACGATGTTTCGGTAGTAAAGGATCAAATAAAAAGGTTATTTTAAAGATATTTTTTTGTTAAAACTTACTTAATGTCTCCTTAGGCAACCCTTTTATCAAAAACTCCTTTAATCTTACTCAGATATAGGAATAATAAATAAATAACTGTAACTGTCAAATTATTTTGAAATGACCTTTGTGTGATTGATCATAGCGCTTTTAATGAATAAGAAATTCTAAATCCTCTTTGGTGTCCGTAGAACACATCTAGCCAAAATAGCAATGGAAGTAGTTGTAATCTTATTATAAAATGGCACTGGTTTGCTTTTTTTTTATTTTAAAATGTCTTCTTCTAAAAATATTGTTATTTATCTGTGATATACCTTGTTGGGAAGCTACAAAAAGTAAAATTCCAGTGTTAGTTTTTGTTCTTTATTTTATTAAAGGATTCTTCTTCAACAGGTATTACCACGGTGCTCACCATGACAACGATTAACACCCACCTGAGAGAGACGCTTCCCAAAATCCCTTATGTCAAGGCCATTGACATGTACCTCATGGGCTGCTTTGTGTTTGTCTTCATGGCTCTGCTGGAGTATGCACTGGTGAACTACATCTTCTTTGGCCAGGGTCCTCAGCGTCAGAAAAAAGCAGCTGAGAAAACAGCAACAGCAAACAATGAAAAGATGAGGATAGATGCAAATAAGGTAAAATTCTACTTAAGTTATTGATGATGTGTTGTAGAAGATATTTTTAACTTCCTATGGTCTGCTTTAAAAAAAAAAAAAAAACTTAGGGGCAGTTGTTATGAATGTCATGCATCTGTTTCGCTACGTTGAAGACTGGATAATTTCTGGTTCCTTTGAAATGTCTTTAAATCCCTTATTGATATCCCGCAGTGACACCCAACCCCCGGCCCCAGGTCTGCTACCAGTCTGTGTGTCATTTGGTGCCGACCTGCACAAAAAGAATAAATAACTTCCATTACTTCTGGCAGACTCTTGATGTATGACGGCCGCAACACCGTAGGTCATGTGATAGTTAGCCTCTATAGTTAGCCCTTGACAGCCGTAGCCACTGCCCTGCCTTGCAGTCTTCTCCAATCTACAGCTGTGCTCCTCCGTTCCCCTTCTGAGTTAGCACCGCAAACTGCTGCCTCTATTGCTTTGGTACCTTATATAGATCCAGAGGGGGGCACTGCTGGCGGCCTTGTCCCGGTTCTGGTTCTCTCTCTCATGGTTTTTTCGCACTGATTGTTTCCGCTGCTCCTGTCAAATTTCCAGAAAGACGTCTCACCTTACTTCTTTAAAATGTGTAGGCTAAAACTTAAAACGCTCAGAGAAAAACTCATAAAAAACAAAACAGATGGCGTTCGAAATCAGTCGACTTCATAATGACCGAGGTGTTGCCAATCACCTGAAAATCTGCAAATTTCTGAGTATTGCAGATTGACAGGTGGAAGTCTAGTTTACATAAATAATTTTATGAATAGTAGGGGTTTCTCGATACAACTTTTTCATTTCCACTATCTTAGAATATACTACAGCTTTGAAAAGGCTTGGTAAGGTAATATTACTAAAACAAGAAAGAAATGTCAACAACAATAGTTGTTGAAAAATTTTAACAGAAGGAGAGTGTTTCTATTAGCAAGAAAGTATCGCTATAATTGGATATTCGTTTTTTGGTTCATATCTGACCAATATCAGATATTAATATCCGGTCCCACGGACTGCCACACTGGCTCCCTGAGCAAGACTCTTAACCCCACACTGCTCCCCGGGCACCGCACATAGGCAGCCCACTGCTCCCCAAGGTGATGGGTTTAATGTTGAAAGTTCATTTCATTGCTCTGTACTTGTGACAGTGTAATGACAATAAAAAAAAAATTTATATTTTTTTTAAAGCAAAAAAAAACTTATCTAAGACAAATGTATCATGGGAGAACAGTCTGATGTGATGGGAGTGCACTGGCCTCAGAGATTGAAACCTTCCAGAAATCCTAAAGCACAGATTACCTCACTTACTCTCTTACTGGGTTCAGAGCCATGAGTGAAGATGTATTGTTGAATGTATTGTTAAATAAGGCCTCCATTAAAAGGCATTGTCAGTAAAAGTTAGTTTTCAAAATTTGGAGCATGGTTTAATAGTGAATACTTGCTGCTCTGCTTATTCTTCACTATAATTTGGAACTTGGATGTCTTTTTGTTTCTTTGTATTTCACACTTGTCTGCAGTGGCTTGTGGGAAATGTAGTTGGCAGAGATGATACCCTTTACGCAAGAATGAAACAGAGAGACCTAGCTGGCCATGATTCAATATGGGAGCCAATCTTTATGGATGATGCTGCACTTGGACTTGGTGATCAAAAAAACAAGGTACACCAAAATCTCTTTAAATCTAAATTTTTCAGGTAATCTACCTTTTAGAGCATGGGTTTCCAGAGTCAGTTTTTGATGGCCACTGTCCTACGTGTTTCATGTGTTTCCCTGTTTTGACACACATAATGAAATTTTTACTTTAAAGGTTTGTTTATCACCTGTTCAATGGAAATAAGCAGTGCATAATAAGGGAAGAATCTAAAACCTGTAGGACAGCGTCTCTAGATTACTAACTTTGAACACCTTCCTTCTGAACCAGAATATAAAGAAAATAAGAGTGGTTTAATATCTTTGTCAATGACTGTATAGCACATGTAATATTGTCTTTGTTCACACTAGACAAAAGCTGTGCTTGTGAAATATATCTGAACCTTGTGTGGTTCCATTAATCCCCTGGGTTAATATTACGTAAACAATCAGATCAAATGTATTATATTAAAATTGCATTTTTTGGAAGAGAGTTTTGAATATTTTTATGCACATACACATAAATTCACACATTTATGTGTTCAGTTTATATTTGCAAGGGGGGGAAAATAACTGTTTTTTTCCTGGACAGATGGACTCACATGAAAACATCCTCTTGGGTACCTTGGATATCAAGAACGACATGGGTGTCACAGAGCTGGCTCTAGGTCTCAATGATCCACGGAATACCATGTTAACATATGACAGCTCAAATCTGCAATATCGCAAATCAGGGCTGGCAAGACACAACTTTGGGCGAAATGCTCTGGATCGCCACATGACTCAAAAGAAAAGCCGACTACGGAGGCGGGCCTCTCAGCTGAAAGTAAACATTCCAGATTTGACTGATGTAAACTCTATTGACAAATGGTCACGGATGATCTTCCCTACGGTTTTTTCCTTCTTTAACATTATTTACTGGCTTTACTATGTCAATTAAACACAAATCATAAAAGTAAAAGCAAGTGCAGCTAAATCAAAAAAAGAATTTATTGTATGTGTTTGAGTGACTTTATATATATTTTCTTTTTAAAGCTGGATGAAACTGCTGTGTTCAAGACTAGATCCATAATTTTTTGGAACACAATCTTTGCTGGGTAACACAAAACAACCTTATGTATAAGAGATTACAGACTTATAAGGTGCCTGTTCCTAAATATTTGTTTAAAGTGTTACATGCTTTTGTTTTATTCTGTATTGTGATGTTTAGGTTTGTTTGCCTTTTTGTTAATTTATTATGCTCATTCAAACTTTATATTCATCAGTCAATTAGATATAAACTGAGATAAAACAACTTCAAAGTTATGTTGACGAAAGCTATGTTATCACCACAGGTCAACAGGGTTTTCTCACCATAATCATTTCAAAGACTACACAATACCACTAATCCATCAAACTGCATGAAATTGCTTAAAGAAGTTCACAGAAAATACTTAAGATTCACCATTTCTTGTATGATAAAAGGTGAATTTTATAAAACCAATGTTTTTTAAAACTTTTTCTAGTGTGTGAAATTGGTGGTATTACATCATTGTATTTTTCAGACATCTTTGTCAGTTGGACTTCTTCTTCTGTAAAATCACAAAAAGAAGAGAAAACTACCACAAAACCAAAATTTCTGTTTGATCTGCTGCAAATCAAAATCCAGACAGAGTTGAGGAAAAAAAATTGACAAAATAGTATAAAATATCAAGGTTTTGTAAGTAGATTAACTGGCTAAAGCCGAACATGGTTATCAGACATTACCTAAAAGAACATAAAAGATCTTAAAAATGTAAAATAGTTCAACATTTTTTGTATCTGCTTTCATATATTGCAGGTCCATATATTATATACATCCATTACATATAGAGGAAAATGTACAAATTTTTTATTTCTACTAATATTAACCCTAAGTATGGCTTTAAGATAATCTGAACCCACAATGTATTAGCTCAGAAAATTTTTATTTTTAAAAAATATTGACAATTCAATTTATGCCGTTACACCCTATAATAAGACCAATCAACACAGCTGCAAATGTTTTTTGTTTTTATTTGGCCTTACTGTAGTCTCTCAGTCTTGTCAGAAGGCTATACATTCATGGGGAAGACTGTGGGTTTGTAAGATGTCCAGAAAACAGTCACTGAGACCAGAGTAGAGATTGTAAAGCCACCAAAGTTTATGCTAAAGAAACTAATAGGTAACAGAGTGTCGTATTCAAGCATTATCACAGAAAATTTAAAGGAAAAAGGGTGGTGGGAAAAGGGGTACAAGCAAAAGGAGAACTTGATTTAATCAATTAGAAAATTAGTGGAAGCTAAACAAGGCCCTTACTGAGGTCAACTTAACCACATCAAGATCCACATTACTCATACACATGGGACAAGTGTCTTACTTGGGGCTTGTGGGGAAGAACTGTAGCTCAGGGGTCCTAAATGAACTTTTCTGTAAATCACTAGAAGCCACGCATTTTCCCCTTAGCTATCCCTTTTCTATTAATTTATGTTATATTCTAATTTTCTAAAACTCTAAATTTTGGATGTCCATTATTATTTAACGTAGCATAATTTTCCTGAAGAATTACGGGCTACGTTCACACTGCAGCCTGAAATGACCCAAATTCTGCTTTGTAAGCAATTTGTGACCTGTATTTCATATTTTCATGACAATCTGAAGAAAACAGATCTGATTTTTTCAAATTCCAGCTGCGTCGAAATAGTTAGGTGGCATTCATCTGACCTGAACATCATTAATACTTGACAAAGATCACTGTTCTGCTTGTTGCTATGCAGATGCGTCAAAAAAAAAACAGCAACCATGGTATACGATGATGTGAAGACCAGTCATTCTTTTCGACCTTCTTGAAAATTGGAAATAAATTCTCTCGTTCTCGGTTGTAAAATAAAAGATTACAAGATGTGGTCCAACACTTCCATCCATGTTTATTTCAATAAACAAAGAGCACAGTTGTCATCATTACGCCCTCTACTGCGCATGTGGGACACTTAAGTTTTATGAATGCAGTTCACTCAGGAGTTCACTCAGGAGATCATGTATTTGGGAATGTGAAAAACCACACAAAACAATCACATATCACAAAAAATCTGAATTGAGCATTAAGGCCTGCAGTGTGAACGTAGCCATAATAATAATATCTGGGATAAACTCAGGTAATAATGCATAGCACATATAGAAAGTTGTTATAGTAAACTCTTAAGCTCATATTAAGTTTAAAAAGTGAAGATATAAAAAGGGATTTATCTAGTGTGAAGGACTTGATCAGAATGTTTCCTGAGTACAGTACATTTGGTTATTATAAAAAAGCACAATATGGAGGTTTTTAAAAGGGCTGTGTACTACTCCTAGAGTTTCTTCTGTGTCATTCACCACAGCGAACCAACCAGCAACCTATGGCTACAGTTGTAATGTACATTACTATTCAGTCAGTTAAAATGGTGTTGCAAGTTATAGTCATCCTTTAGGATGTTCCCCAAAGGGTGCAAATGTTCTGCAAAGAGATTATTTCAAAGCAAATTCAAAAAGTGCTGAAAACACCAAAATGACACTCGAAACATAAAAATAAGAAAAATACACAAACATTTAAAACATACTGCAAACACAAAACCCGCTGGAAATACATAAAGGATATTAATATACAAATCCATGCAAAGGAATATGCGTGTGTAAATTATCAGTCTTCTGGGCTGTGACAATCACAAACAGGCTTAAATTGGAAGGCAACTGGACTTACGCTTAGTGTTTTTAAGATGTTTTTAAGACCTATCCAGGAGTCTGTCAAAGAAATCTGTTGTTGTAGTGCTTATGTATTAAGCAACATGGAGGTCCATTCTCAATTACCTTCCAATTTAAGACTGTTTGTACATGCAAAGGAGAGATAGTGCAATCTGCAAAAACAACAGCAAGTTAAAACAGCTGCAAATTAGCTTAGTAGGACAGAATTGCTCCAGACCACAAGGGGGAAATGCCTCATGAGCACATCACTACATATTAATGTCTATGGACAACATTGTTGCCAACAACTAAACATGTTTCCCTCCTATACGCTGTTACACAGCTTCAGAATGCATTCTTTAGTACATGTTGTGCAATGGCACTCTGTTTTGCACCATGGTGCATGGGATTGATGCTGTTTTGGACCATGGTGCATGAGATTGATGCTGTTTTGGACCATGGTGAGAGATGCAGCGACAACAACACACTGTGGAGCATGTGCATCATGCCTAACTTAAAACACTTTAAGGATCATTTTTTGTAATATTACCTTAGCATGACCTCTGGAAAGGGTTAATTCACAAAATATCTATATTTTGTGTTTATGAAAGGTTCACTGTAACTGATAACAATGATTAAAGGAAAAAGTAAGTTGTTTTGATTGAGCGGAATATCTTACTCATCTCAGTTTCAAGTGAACTCTTGCAGCTTTACCATACAATTGCTGTTTACTTTGGTCTTCTATTTATGACGAGTGAATGTAAGAACAGGCCATTCTTAGCATATGGTAACACTCTTTGTTCCCCATAAGAGAACAAGACTACTTTTAGCAATAACCACAGCTAGGGGAGTACAGTATGCAGTTTGACAGTGTGACCCCTTTTAGCTGACCCCTAATATGAAGAGGTAAACAAAATATATGGTGTTTACTTTGTAAAGGCAGCTGTACATTGATGCCCACAGATGTCGTTCTCCTCTTAGGTACTTCTTTACATGTTTTCCTGAGGACATCTTCTGTCTCATCATTTAAATTAATCAGAAAGTTATCTTTCCCAGAACATTCTATTTAGCCCTAAACGTAAAGTTAGAGTAATGCTGCATATATGGTGGTTGAAAGGCCAGTTAAATTACTCAATTGTATCCACAATACATTTTTTTCACTTTATTTGTCCAAACAGGGAGAAACAAAATATATTGCTACAGCCAAAATGAATCTTTATACACCCAAACAAAACTCTTCTTTGGTCTGACTCTTGATTGCACTGGTTTGCAATCAAGATAATATTTTCATTGAAAGAATGAGAAAGCTGTGCTCCCTACATCAGACCTCGCCCACATTATCTGTATAGAGGATATAGGTTGAAACTGTTTATAATTTGTTTGTGCTGCAAATAAGCTGCCTACGCATCCATTCAGAAGAAACAAGGCCAATCAAGGTGTTTTTTTTCTCCTAGAAATATTATGTTCTTTGATTAGCATTAAACATTTGTAGCCAGTATAATCACGGACATTAAATGATCGCCCATAGACAGTCTTTAAGAAAAACTGAAAGGCTTTAATATAAGGCATTAAAATAATAAATACCTTCAATATTCAGGTCACATAAACAGTGTTGTTCCAGGGGTTTATTACTCTCAATAACTAAGTAGAAAAAGGCAAGTCAATATTAAGAACAAGACATCTGCATAAGTAATTGCATGTGTTCTTCAGACCCTGCCAGATTTTAAAAACCATGTCAAAGGTTTACTTTTTCTTTTACAAACATTTATCTGTCCTTAAGTCATCTCAGACTACATTAATAGTATACATATTCGAATTGCATGTTTTTTTTTTGTTTTTTGTTTTTTTCAAATATAGCTTAAAACTATGGTTGATGAATGAAAATGGAATACTATGTATTTATAGAATGCATTTAAAATAAGACTTTTCAAAGGTTTTAAATTAATTCCATTGACAATTACCCTGCAGATTATCAACCATTGCCTTATTAGTGACACTAAGCTTCTCAATATTACCTAACTTTACCTCACTGCTGTTTACTACAATATAAAACCATTTTTTTATTGATTTTCCACTCCCTAAAACTGTGCAAAAAAATGTTTAGATATTTTTTTTTCATTGAAGACCGTGAATTACTGGCAAGAAAAAGTTCCCGAAATTGATTTGTTTGTGCTATTTCCCATTGTGCCTTATCAGTATAAAGATTCCTATCAGAAGCTTTTAATTAATAAAAAGCACAAGAGAGAGGTCAAATTAGTAAAACAAACATTTTAAAAATACAATAAGATAAACAACTCCCAAATGAATTTAAATAAACATAAAAAATAGAAGTACAGGAGCAAACATTGTCCAAGAACAAAAAACAACAGAGGCAAATAAATAAAAAGCAAAAAGCAAATTAATGTTACAGAAGAATGATACATTTCCTGCAGTGTTTTATAGGGAGGATGTAAGTGGTCCCTTAGTGTTGGTGAAAAGGCTATCACAGGCCAGTCACTGAACATTTACATGGAGAGACAATTCAAATAATATTATTCAAATAATAATAGAATGGAGATCATAAAGATTACTCAACTTTGTATATATAAAATATATTGTATAAATACATAAAGTTTAGAAAAAAATAAAAAAATTTTTTTGTTTAGAAAAAGCACAGTCTGATGTAAAACAATGTAAATAGTCTGCTTTGAAGTATATGTTGTTTCACAAAACTGTAAAGCTGCATTAATCAATATGATTCCTATTTATTGCTAAATTTATTTGCTACAAAATTTCAGCCAAATTAATGATTTATTTAAGCAGATAGACACACATACGTAAACAATAAACGGACACTCAATGACAGGCAGGGCTCAGTCTTAACCCACCAGGAGGATTTTAACTAGTATTAGTCACTCTTTTTAAATGAGCAGTACCCTGGGTGAGTCGTACCTGCTGCTCCTAACCAACCTATATTTAGGGAATATAATTTATTCTGTGGCAAAATAAGAAGCTCTGCAGTCTTATACAAAGCACATTCTTTTTTTCACCAGCAACAAATCTTTAGATAAATAGAAAAGGCAGCAGATAAGTAATATCTTTATTTTGTGCAGGTTTCTTTCACACACCTGCCAGCTATTCTAGCTGCCCTGGAAAACAACCATATGGCCCCTGTCATGAAATGCCACTGGCTACTCTGGGCATATTTAGTAATATTGATCGACTCTTGTTAAGATGGTTTGACTTTGTGAGATTATTTATTATTTTCCTTGGGTTTGACTGATTTCAGTGGCCATTATAAGCCCAACATTGCTCTTTATAATATCTACACCAATATCATACACAGCATAGTACTTCTGTTTGTTTTTTTTCTTGAAGTGTCTTTTACACAATAAATCGACGCCTGCTACAGATATAGCTTTGTAATGTTAAAATGCCACCATACAGGGAATGAATGTTTTCCATATCAACTTTTTACAGCTTGACTGTAAAATAAAAACTTTTGGATAAGTGTTTGTGACTCATATTGCCTTTTCGTTAATTATATATAAATATATATATATATATATATATATATATATATATATACTGTATATATACTGTATATATATATATATGTATGTATAATAAATGATTGAGAATGATCACCCTGATGGTTATAAAAGTGAAGCTATTTATTAGAGTCAACGTCTCTCAAGTAAAATTTTTAGGAATACAAAAATATAACATCTGTAATGGTTGAAAATGTTCTTTCTTTTTTGTTTGATTTGCTTGAAGGCTTTTGAAATGCAATATTTTCTGTATGGAGTTATGGCCTCTCGAGCATAAAATGTTGATTTTGTAAAAGCTTACAAGACACAACTTGGAGATGGTGTATGTTTGCACACACTCACAGAAGAAGCCTTAGCCTCCTCCTGGCCTGGACCTCCTGACTAACTGTCTCAGCTCCTCCATACCTTCTTAACAGCTACTGTCCTGAAACCAAGAGCTCTCCCCTTCTTGAAGCCCTGTAAAAAGTGAGTTTTTGTCCTCACTATAAGAATGGAATTTACTACATTGTCAATAAACATTGTATACACTTCCTAATCTGTTGATTATTTTTAGTTATAGTTAAGAAGGAGCCTTGTATAGACACATATAAAATATTGTTT